ATAACATTGGCAATCAGTGAAGCGTTACTAATTGGGACCTATCATCCTGTGCTATGTGCACAGAAACGCTTGAGGCAATCAATCAGATTGCCTTGGTCTTGATTTTGACATTTTGATTGGTGTGTCAATATTTTCCCATTTATATATTTATGCAGGTGTTTATGCTTGTACTGTGTATGCGACTGAGGAGAACAAGCGAAATGTTGACATATCGCAATCTATACCTTCTTTCTGCTTTGCTTGAATAAATTCTGATCGCAGCCGATTCTTTGTTTTTGATTCTCGGAGGGCGTTACGCGACACTAGGCCCTCAGTTGTCAGGTGGAATGAGCACCTATGATGGGCTCGGAAACAAGAATTGGCCTTCCGAAACTTTTCCGCTTGCACGCTGTGTTTAACTGAGAATCGCTGCAGCGAGGTTTCGTCGAAACTTCATTCAAACTGCAAGTTTATCACACTGTAAAACAGTAATAGCTCAAGTCTGTTTATAATGTCCTCAGGTGATAGAGGTCCAGCAACAGAAGCACTCACTTCAGGGGATCAGCCCTGTCCTGCGCAGGTTGAGAACGCACACAGTAATGAAAGTGTGTCGTGGGATATTACCGCGACTTAGTCGCCATGAACTCCGTGCCTCGTTTGTTGCCCGGTGGTTCAACTACACAACAACAACTGCAACAAATACAACCTCATACACGGGCCTACCGGATTTTTTGCATCATCGACTTTCCACCACAACGTTCGGAAACGCTGGAGCTCAAGAGTTGCTGCCTGTCTATTTGCTATTCCGGTGGCGCAGGCTTTATATCGGCCGTTGCCTTTTCAATGACACATCGGTTTTACCTTTTCTGCCGCGGATACAACAGTTTTCACCAAAGTTTTGACACTTTTCTTCGGGTACACCACTTCAAGGTCACTAGCGCTGTGTTGCGTTGATTTTTTGGAAAGAACTTTGAGATCCCGTGCATGCCGCGCTAGGTTATCAAAAGGCGTTTCGTTAAGTTAAGGAAGGTCATCCTGATCGACGTACGGCGATCTGACACTGTATCTTCGACAGTAAACAAATACTAATACTTCACTTTATCGAAGGGAAGTTTTGCCTTCAAAAAACGACCGTTAATTCGGATGACACTTGTGCCATCGTTCCATTAATACCACTTGTACTTTTAACGTCGCTATTTTAGTCCATCCGCGGTAATTATCGTAAATTGTCGAAAATAAGCCCACTCTGGTACATAAAGCCTTTATTGCCTTGACGTGACTTATTAAGCCGGGTTACACAGAATTAGACTACGCCAGCCAACGCTTGTGAATGGTCAAATGGTAGCAGGCTTTAGTCTCATCCTCCAAACCTTTGCGTGGTACATACCGGTGTTAGCCATAGGGAAACTTGTCAGAACTGACATGCCTTGGTATTTTGCCGAAATATGAATGTGATTTCACCGCAGCCCCACCCCTTTGCACCAGAATTTGATGTATGTAGCCACTAGGTACAATGAAGGGCCCCACTACTGTAATTAACCAATTCACAGTCGCTTGCTGCACAGACACATCAAATGGTTGTTTAGTCTTCCACATCAACTTAGGTTGAGGACTCCAGGATTGCGAAGCGGTCAGTATCGGGGCCTACGTGGCGACATACTAATGGCTTACCAGATTGTGCGGAACCGCAACCACGTCGGCCCGTCACTTACGGCAACTCAGTCACGGCCCGAAGTTGAGGGGCCACCAGCTCACGTTGGTCGCACAATACAGCCGGCTGGAATGTCGGCGAAACGTTTACTCTCTTCGCGTCTATCAAACATGGAACGCCGTCTCAAACAAAGTTGTTCCCGCCCACACTTTACCGAATACTACCGAACATAAGCCCGTCCACAGATAAGCCGACAGTATAACTTTGCAACATCAACTTTATCCAACGTCATAAGTCCCCAAATATGCCGACCACCAAAAATATCAGCAAAAGGCGAAACGAAATTGAGTGTGTTCCAGCTAAACCTGCTCTACTATTGGTCAGTTGGGGTGACTGTAATGTGTTATGATCGCGATTAATGGGGCGTAGAGCAGTCACACAGGCTTTTGTCGCACCGGACAGTGTAGGGATCAGATGTCAAGTCACATGAAACAAGACAGCCGGCAATTTGGGGTGAGGTGGAAGGCTATGTCTGCCACTCCGCCTCGCAAAGACGTGGACCACATACAGAGAAATCACAGTAGAGCACTTTGTGAGAGCGAGGCTCACGGCAGTGCTGTGGCACGACGTAGTTTTAAGGCACCGAATCGCCAAGAGTAGCATAATGTATATACACTTTGATTCACTACCAGAAATAGCGCAGAATCCACATGATCTAGCTGAGAGGGAATGTGCTCACCTTTCACGCTGACAGCTGGGCGAGAAAGCTGATTGCCAACGCTCGAGTGTTTGCCACAAATCGTGCTTGGGAAAGACCCTGGGAGTGTGTTGCAAGGGCCCAGCTGAAAGCTGATGAAATCACGCATCAGACAGCAGGCGTGTTGCCAAGGCCTGACCGGAAGCTGATGAAATCGCGCGTCAGACATCACGTGCGTTGCCATGCCCCGGGTAGGCGGACGAAGGCTGGAGTGCCCGAGCAAGATGGTGAACTGGACAGACGGAGCGGACAAGTATGTGTGGAGCCTGGGCTTACAGCCAAATCCGCCTGGTGATGTTTGGAGGGTTGGTGAGACCGACATATAAATATGAGCGTTATCTGTCCTAGTACAACTCTAGTCTGCTGAGTCTTCTGTCTTCTTTCCTGTCGGGTTTATCAAGGCGTCAAACAGAGCAGGCGTAAGGGCGCAGATTTACCAACAGGCGTGAAAACAACCGGGTGATTGAGTGCACAGCGCTATAACACATGCTATCTTCCAAAGCCGTGGAAACGTGAAAAAGATGTCTCATCGGAAGCATTGTGCATATGCTGCTGGCTTTAAGTTGAAAGTTGTCGCGTTTGCCGAGCGATCTAATAATTGTATAGCTGCACGTCATTTCACTGTGAATGAAAAGCAAGCGAGAGAATGGCGAAAGGAGATGATAGAATTGTCACTAATACCTGTAAGCGGGATAGAAACACACGGCAGGAAAACCATGTTTTCCTCACGGTAGGTATAGTTAGCGCCAGTGGGTTGTGGAGTCAAGGGTCAGTGGCTTAATTGTCACTCGAAGGAACATTCGTTATTTGTTATTTCCTCGCGATGAAGCGATCGTTTTATGAACCGATTCGACATGTATTTACGGACCAGCACCAAACTAGCCCGGAAACTACCGAAGGAATTAAAGTGGAATCCTTTCAAACGTTCATGAGTCAGCTGAGATAGCAATGGGGTTTTGAACTGTCGCAACTTGGAACTATGGACGAAAGGCCCATGTGCTTTTATGTACCTCCAAGTCGCAGAAAGGCGCTAACACAAATTTTGTAAAGACGTTGGGACACGAGAAGACAAGGGTTCACAGTTGTTTTGGGGTGTATGGCAGATGGTTTCGGTTTGTCACCTTCCATTAATTTTCAGCGTAAGACGCTGCCTAAAGGAGCGAGGTTCCCAAGCGGCGTGTTTGTGCGGCCGCACACGAAAGGATGGATGGACGAGAGTGGCACCTTAGACTGGCTTCATAAAGTTGAGGGAAAGCAAAGCGGTGCTTTTTTAAAGAATAATCCTATACTGGTTTGAGATTTCTTTTGGGCATACCGAACTGAGAAAGTGGGGAAACAATATCGTGAGTTAAATTGTCTGTAGCGTTAATTCCCAGCGGAATTACATCAATCCTGCAGCCCTTGGATAAGCTCTTTACAGACAGGCTTCGGGCCAGGTGGATTGAATGGATGGCATCGTCTGATTCAGCACTGACGAGGGTGGCAATTTGAAAAAATGTTGACATTGTTACAATTGCAGCGTGGCTGGACATTCCTTCAAAAATTTTCGTCCGATCATACCAAAAGTGCGACATCAATAATGCGCTTGATGAAAGTGTGGCCGATGTCATTTTGGAGGAACACGACCATGATTAGAACAGTGGAGCTGAAGATGACGATATTCACCCTGACGCCAAAATGACAGATGCCCAGTTCCAGAAATCGTTTAGAGATTCTGATTTGGATTATAGTTGCGAAAGATTCGAGGAATTTTAATACAATTGTGCAGCTTTTGGATATGTGAGCCGATACGTACTGTTCCGCCACGTCTTTTTCCAATGTTATCGGGTGTGATGGGTTTGATTCTTCATAATCAGTGTTTCTGTTACTGCTGTCAGTCGCGAACGTCAAATGTGCAATATTCCGAGAGTTCTCGAAACTTATAGGCACTTCAAGTCCCCTTCTGGAATACCGTCCATCACTAGCGGATGTTGCCAAGGGAGATAGTGTCAGACGTGGGAAGCGAATTGCTGGGTAGATTTTACGTGTTATTTTCTCAACTTTCGCATAAGCTTTTGATAAGCCAACACCCCATAACAGAAATGGAAAGTTGCCCAAAAATCATCGGATTATATATGGTAGACTGCAGTATCTGTGTGTTGAGAAACGCCTTGACGTTGCTCTAACCCACCTGCATTACGAGCTGTAGACTGTGTACATCGCGACAGACGAGATAATGTAATGAAGGTTGCGCAATCAGCAATCGAGGTGGGCTCTTTTACGTAAGTTTCTGTGTAAACACTGGTGAGTCCACCAAAACGATTTTTCCTATGTCACTCTGTATTTTTAACTATTTTATGCTTCTCATTCTGGCCATCCTACGGGACTTCTTAAGTCTTTTCCTTTCGCCCGTAAAATACCATGGCATCATGGTTCAAGCGGCGAGCTTTACAACACCATATAGACCAAACAGTTCTCTTATAGACCGGCCGAGGTAAATCAGAGAACGTAGTGTGTCTCTTTTCTTACTTTTTTATTTTGGGTACTTATATATGGTACTGTCATTTTTATAAGAAATCCGTCGTGAACTGCAGTGTAACGAGCGAGCGAGCACTATGCAGTGTATTTACTTACCTGCAGGTTTCTATTCGCCGAAAATGGAAAGTGGACACATCAGCCCTAGTTTCCGAGAGTTTTGCGTCCTTTGAAATGACCCATTTGTAACCTGAGCTCTCGGATTTTTGCATCAAAACCACTTCGGACACCTCTGTTCTGGAACCTGTTCATGCACGCGAAGAAGGGCCTCATCACAGATATCGGTCATTTGATTCAGTGTTGAAGTTAGTTCAACGAACATAAGCTTACCGGCCAAAAGCAGCGGCAGAATGAGTGACTTTTGAAATCCGTCGTAGACCACTTTGCTGGACGCTTTATTACCTTGCAGAAAGTGAAGGAGGATTTGCAATTAAAAAGAGGACCACACGGCATGTTTTCTTTTATTGATCGTTCATTTGTTAGCTTACTGCAGTAATTATTTTAAAATGGCGACCAATGTCTTCACTGTATCCGAAGACAGTCAGAAACGCACAAATGGCATGCTGCTGCTCATTGACGGATAGCATTGATTATCCCATGACTAGAAGTGAACGGATGTATGATGCCACACTGTAGATAACTTATGCCTATTTCACAGTTAACCCCAATCGTACGCTTGGAAATCTTTCCGTCGCAAAAAACAAGAGTTAATGCCGTGGGACTCACTAATGGGTACGGAAGTGTCACGCTTGTGATGGTTTCCATGCATACGAGTACAGGGACCGATCTTTCACCAGCATCGTCCTCACTACATATTCGGTAAAGGTGTGAATCACACTTCAACTATAGTGACGCAATACAAATGGATAACGTACATAAAAATGAGAGATAATAAACATTACAGGATGCAAAAAACAGGTAACACACTGCTTATTAATATATTATGCCCTAAGAGAAAGATCGTGGTTGGAATGGGCAGTTAAACAAGATAGGTATAGATAATGAAACCAAGCACACAAATGCCACTGACGTCGTCGCCTTCCTATGTCAAAAAGAGTATCCAACCAGACACGTTCATTGTCCTTCAGTCCGCAGTCGGGCAGCCGAGAGACACTAACCGATGCCAAGTTCAAAGTGAGGGTCTTCATTCCACTAGACAAAGTCGTCGGCTCGCCTCCCCTCATCTTCTTCCATCCACAGTTGCGGCGCGAACATAACGCAAGACGCGGGAGTAGGTGGGTTGACATGAGCAAAACGTGACCGAGCATTCGGGGCCTGGGGCGTGAAATAACGGTGCTGAGCGGCTCAGTTACTTTACCTGTGCCATATCCAAGGTGCCGAACACGTCCTTGGCTCACGCTGTGCTTCCACCAGAGATGAGCTGAGCCGCGAAGCCAGCGATGATTAACCGTAACTAACCTCTGCGCTATCGACTTTTGGTGCTAGCCTGAAGGAAGACCGCGAATCTTGGTGGTCTCTTCGTGCGTCAGAGATGGAACTGGCCGCTGCCCTTGGCAACCATCGTAAGTTATTCCGTCTGATATGGGAAACGGGCAGCAGGAGACCTGGTGTTAATGAAACTATACGTGACGAGAGTGCACAGCCTATCCACAATTTGTCAAGACGTTTGGAGCCTTGCGCTGAGCATTTTGAAAAGCAATTTAATCGGCTAGAATTGTTCGATTCTTCGCCGGCCAGTGATCGCCCTGCTCCGTGGGCTGTCCCTTTGGATCCACCCTCTCGCTCAGAAGTCGAACGTGAGATCGGACTGTTAAGTTGAACAAAGCCGCGAGATCAGATGATCTTCCTCCAGCACTCTTCAAATTCCGGGGCTCTACTCTTGTTGATTATTTATATGAATTACTAGCGAAACTGTGGGAGCAGGAAACTGTCCCAACCGACTGGGGCCGCTCCGTTTTTGTTTACATCTTCAAAGGAGGCTTGCGTTCGGAATGCGGCAACCATAGAGGAATCAGTCTGATCTCCATCGCCTCCAAATTACTCGCGTCCATAATTCTCCACAGACTGACTGGCGCTCGTGAAAGCCAGATTCGTGAGGAGCAAGCCGGGTTTCGTCGGGGTCGTGGTTGCATCGACCACATCTTCACCTTGCGTCAGTTGTTGGAGCACCGTCACACATACTGGCGGCACACCGTAGTCGTGTTCCTCGATATCAAAGGTGCCTTCGATTCGGCTGGTTGATGTGCGCTTTGGAATCGTCTACTCAGGAAAGGCGTGCCTGAGAAATATGTAAATATTATCCAAGCATTATATGCGCGTAGCACGGGCAGAGTAAGGGCTTACGGCAAGCTGTCGCCACCCATCAATATCTCCAGCGGTGTGAGACAAGGATGCCCGCTGTCACCTTTCCTATTCAAATTCGCTATTGACGAAGTCATGGAGATTGCATTTACAGGACATGACTTGGAAGGTGTGGAGCTACTCCCAGGATAACGACTTCTTGACTTGGAGTATGCAGACGACATTGCCCTCATCTGTGACACCTTCCAGACGTGCCAAGCCGCGCTGGACAGATTAGCACTGGCTGTCAGCCACTTCGGGCTTTGCTTTGCACCATCGAAATGCAAAGCATTCCTCCAAGATTGGCAGGGATCGCCTCCTGCGCTGACCCTTGGTGGAGATTTGCTAGAAGTCGTTCGGAAATTCAACTACCTGGGAAGTTGTATCAGCGCCCTTGGGATCGGAGACGAGATCACGAACTGTATATTAAAAGCACGAAGTGCTTTTTCTAACATTCGCCACCTATGGCGGCGGCGCGACATTACTCTTGCCCTGAAGGGTGGAGTGTATAATGCAGCGGTTGCGAATCCGGGCCCCTAAGATCGGCGGACATAAGGAGGCTAGTTACGTTCGATCGTCGATGCCTTCGCCGTTTGGCTCACATCTGGTGGGAACACCGCGTGAGTAACGAGCGTGTTCGACGCCTTGTTTATGGCACAGGAAAAGGAACTGAATCGGTCAGCACCGTCATTTCACGCACCAGGCTCCGATGGCTGGGCCACGTGTTACGCATGCCAGCCCACCGACTTCCACGACGTGCTTTGTTTGCTGGCCGGGGATGTGAATGGAACAAGAGGAGGGGCGGTCAAGCGATGACTTGGTCCAGAGGAATGAAGGCCCTCACTTCGGAGCTGGCCTCAGTTGGAGCTTCACGGCTCCCTGGTTGGGGTCCAAAAGACGGTGTACACGTTTGGCTGGATATACTTGCTGACGTGGCTAGGAGCTGACTTCAGTGGCGTACGTGCTGTGAGTTTCTTTGTCCCTCCCCATCCCTTTTAGCCTCCCCTCCATCCACGATCTCATTTCGTAGCGTAAAACATAAGAATTTTTCTTTTTGACTAGTAGCCGACTGGTAGCTTAGCGGAACGATGCCCGTCGGTTGTTGGTAGCTCAGCTGGCATGCAACTGTTGTATTTAGTTTACTTTATGTATTGCGGCACAGTAGCTGAGGTGTTTCCAACCTTTAGCTGACGTTTATAATGATGATGACGATGTCTGTCGCCGCTACATATGGCGGTGCTACAGCAATTAACGTAATGTGAAGATGTGGTCAGTACAGTCGTGATTTCGAAGAAACCCGCCTTGCTCCTCCCGAATCTGACTTTCAAGGGCGCCGGTATGTCGGCGAAGTGGACCAGAGGCCAGTAGCTTAGTAACAATTTAGCTCAGGCTGATCCCTCCATGATTGCGTCATTCGGAAAGTTAGCCACCTTCAAAAATTGGGACTACAAAGGGGCGGCCGTAGCCTGCTGGGACAGTTTCCTTCTCTCAGAGTCTCACAAGTAACTTGTGCAGATTGTCTACACCAGTAGGTCGCCGAAGTTGAAGATGGCTGGAGGAAGTCTATCTGCTTCTGCGGTACTATTCACTCTTAATATTCTGATCTCAGATTCGACTTCTGCGCACGTAGGCTGATCTAGGGGAACGGTCCGAGTAGAAGGACGATCACTGACCGATGAAGAGGCTGGTAACTGGCTGATTAAGCTACTTTACAGAGTGTTCGTCTGAAGGGTCCAAGCGTTTTGAAAAACTATGAATCCGCCGTCTACCCTCGTCGCGTATGGTCTCACAAACACCAAGTCCCCTGCTCGTGTCGCGTATCAGACGGAGTAACTTCTGACGGTTACCAAGGACAATGGCCATTTCCATCTCCCATGCATGATGAGACCACCAGACTTCACAGTCGCTTGGCAGGCTAACACACAATTTCATCCTGAGGCCTTTGTGGGTCTTGTTGTGCTCGCTCCCAGCCGAAATGTCTCGGCGAATATCCAGAAATTCCGGAGACTGCATTGAGACGCTAATTTTATGTTGGCAGTTTGATTTGCCACATAAAGACATGCTTACTGTCAATAACATCTCGTGGATATGTGACCAGTGACCCTCTACTGTGTTCAGAGAGCGTTTATACAGGTCGTATGCCCGCGTAGGTTGATACGCACTTAGAAGATCTCTCTTCGCTAGCCAGCAAGTATCTATGCGCTCACAGGGTCGCCGCATGCGCCCGCCGAAGCAAACTGCAATATCGGACCAAAACCAACGGCAAGGCAGCGGAGTTTGGGCACTGGACTGCAGATATTCTGTTTTATAGAGTAAGGAAGCACTTTCTCACTAACCCCCAACCTGGAGGGCTAGGGGAATGAGTTACTTTGACTTCTAACCACTAAGGAATCAGTTATGAGTGGGTCAGAAGGTGCAAAAAGCACCACGCAGCAAAATTTAGTGGAGCTCTGAGGCACACAAACCATCGCACCATGTTGAGGTCCAGTGTCGTCGCGATACAGACCGATCTTCACTTGGGATCGTCAAGTTACATTAGAGGCCAAGGTAAAGCTGGATTTTAAGGGGGACTTCTCGCACATAACTTTGCAGCTACCACTACTCTTAGTGGAAAATATAGTTTGTTGACAACGATACCAATTTGTGACTCTGTTGCACCTTAACTCATTTTGTACGGACCACATCAATGGGAACCTATAGAGCGCTTAATAGATCACACATCCAGAGGCCTGAGTAATTACTTGAAAAGAGCAAGGTTTCTGAGACATACATCGCATAACTCTAGCGGGATGAAGTGGCAGATGTGATCTTCAGAATCAGCTTCGCGCAACAATCGCCCATCTAAATCGAAGTGACCCCCATCCGGACGAAGCTTATGGAAGAGCTTGCCGAGCAAGCAATCGCGGGTGGACAAATTAGCAACGTTTTAATAGCCCTTACCACCATTCCGACAAGCTAGAGTTGAGCAATGCGACAATAGGGAAGGAGAAACGTTCAGGAAGGGAACTGGGGTTCGAGGCTGTGGAGAGCTCACTGATGGGTCCGGAGGCTTCTTCACTGATGCTGGATGTGTCTATGCGTGTATCCGCATCCATTCTGTCCATCACTGTTGTAGAAACTGTCGGTCTATTTGCAATTGAAATTTCTGGCACCGGTAGCGTCACTGTGATCGGCTTGAAAAGAAGCTTCCTCGCACAGGCTAGGGGAAGTAAGTAGGATGGTGGCAAACACAATCGCTTTAAATAGAAATTTATGAGCTTCGTCTTTACTATGATATATTGTAGCTACATTCTTGTTGGTGCAGTGACTAAAATTATGAGACACGGCTCAAGATAAATTATCAAAACACTCAGCTCCGTGGATATATGTATCTTGATTACGTGTGAACGAAGCAACATTAAAGGTGATTAGTTCATTGTGGTGTAGCCTCCCATTCTTTTTAAGACACACAATCTATGTCTGGGGCACAAATTACTTCAAAGTGTAGAGTATTCGGTACGGCCACAAAGACCGGGCGTGGAGCAGATGGTGGCATAGTGGTGAAGACGCCTACCGCTATTATCTACGTCCCGACTCTAGCCCCAAGTCCGTAATCTCCAGCTTAATGATGCAAACAAACATGATGCTGACTATGAAATGTTGTGTTGGAAGTAAGCGACAGCTAGTACTCAAACGGAGTTGTATAAATTCGGTTTAGCCTAGCTGAAGCCAAGAAAAACAAACTGCTCGACATTCCCCGCAACGTCGTATTCACCTCAAACAAATAGTTATTGTTCTAGAGGAGGATGAAGTGGTCGAAGATGAGCGCCGACTGCTTGTCACTCCCTGAACTCGTATGAACTTACAGCTAGGAAATATCTCAATCTCCATCACGGACAGGTTGGTTGACACAGCGTTCGTACTTCGAGGCTGCAAACTAGCGAGTTGACACCCATTGCATAATGCTTCCGAGGTATACTAGAGAATATTGATAACAAGGGTTCGATACCTCACGGTGAACTATGAAGGTGACATCCACATCCACGACAGTTGCATTGGAATTCATCGTGGTGGGTGTGGATCTACTTATGTCACTTACCTTAGAACAGTGACTGATGTACCGGTGCACATTTCACAAGCGTCATTTAAAAAGCACACCGCAAATGCCCCATACAATTTATCGACGTCTTATGTGCACCGAATTACTGAAATATAGAAGTCAAGTGGTAAGGTTCTTAAAGATTATCGAACCAATGTAAGTTCGATTAACCAGGAGCAATCCCCTAGCAATGCAATGGATGGTCACCTTGTGCCCACTGGATTCACCATTAACGCATGTTCGACGTACTACGTCATGAGATCAGGGACTAAACTCTGCACGACAGCAAGTGAAACTTGTGGACCAAACAGATCAGGGTTCTCTTTAACACTATGTACCAAGTTGAATCCATCTCTGACTCAGTGACTTCATGATGTTAACAGTGACAGAGAAGTACCAAGGTTGGCAGACTGAACACCAGTTGGAGCGGGCGTATTTTCACCCGTTTACTGGTTCCTAGAGGGCGACGGAACCTTGCACTTCGACACTTAGCTTTACTCGACCATGAGTGTATACTGCTTCATTACTGAGTCTTGTATCTGGGTTCCACTCTCAGTTCACTTTACCTCCACTTGAAGAGTCCAACTTGGGACGAAATAGGTTGCGGGGTGCATTGTTAGGAGAAAGCAGTGTCGAAGCTCTCCACTGCGGTGTCTCAATTGCCTACAAGCAAGTGTCTTCACCGCTTGCATCGTATACAGTCTCTGTTTATGCACGGTTACCAAACTATTTATGGTAGTTGACTGTGGACAAGATAACTTTGTTTCATGCGCCACTATCGTACTCTGCATCACAAGTTAACTCACTGAGATAAATCATTGGACTACATGCAATAAAGTCCGCCATCAGAGCTTGATTACGTTCCTTGAAGGCATTCACTTGTCGGCAGTCCAGTTGCTGAACCTACAATGGAACAACATACTACTGCGAGTTAATGGCAACACTATTCTAGATACATGCTAGTAACTGTCCGGAAGCCCATAGATATGCGCATTGGTGAAAGCTTGAAACTGATGATAATTTCACATTACAAAATGAGGCCAGTGACTAGCATGCTGAAGGTGATGGTATGTACATCCAATTCGAGTAGGATAGATCGCATGAACAAACGCTTACAATTCTTTGCCTTTTCCCTGGGTGAGAAACATGCACTTTGTCAACCTGTAGTTCTAATTTGCTATACGAGCGCGCCCAGCTGATTTTTCTTCAATTAACTGCCGTGATGATCTTTAACGCCCATCGACATACACTGAAGGTCAAAGTATGTAGGTCAATATTTTTTAGTTAACGGAGAACAGTAAGGGTACGTCGAACTGGCTGAACGCAGCTACCTCGCTTACTCACTACACTGGTGGTGTATTGTACCGCACTTACTTTCGAAGCAGAATCAGGGCTCACCTATAGTCAGATTTGAAAAGTAATCTAACCACCTTGAAGCAGCGCTAATTTCTCCAGTAGGCTGGGTGGTGAGACTTGCATTGGGAAACCACCCAACTGGTCTCGCTTGTCATCCCGCCTGAGCACTGCCAACACACTGTGGTTCGAAGGCGGTTAAATCGCCTCCGAGCACAAGCGCACACAATCTTCGCCGAAGTATGGAAGATTCCCAGGGGAATAGTCCCTCCCTAGGAAGCATAATCTGTCATGTAAGATTCTAGCAGTGGACGATTCTTCATAAACCGGAGTAAAATTCATAAAGTGCGTGTTGTGAATGGTCATCACAAGACAGTCTGTCGAGCGATGCACCTGACTTGGGTGTGAATAAAAGTGCGTATAAGCAAGCGAGTCATGAGTTTCGGCCGTATGTACCCATCATAGCCGTGCCATTTTGTGCGTCGTGTTCTTGCTTACAATGCTGGCGACGGATTACTCGAACTCACCATGGACTTCATTGGAGAAATGGAAGAGTACACTGAAGGATCCGGTTCTTTGAACCATTACACTGAAGGTCTAAATTTTCTCTCGGCTAATGGATTTTTCAGTGACAACTGCTAGGTGAACATTTTTCTGGGTATTTATGGCTGACGAGCATCGAACGGATTCTGAACCTAGTCTCTCCAAACTTACCATGCACTAAATAATTTGATAAAATTATCACACTGGTCACTAATCACTACAACCCAGAACCATCAGTAGTTGTGTAGCCAGCATTCAGGTTGAGAGGGAATTAGTACATGAGCTTCGGAAGTTGAGTGAATAATCAACAACTTGAAATATACTTGAGACTGGGTGAGAATTGATAATTTCAACCGGTTGACTGAATGTTGTTATTTCGGCAACTACAGAAACGATGTGGTCCAGGACCGCATCGCAGTTGAAATAAAACTTCCAACTCAGCGTTGCATGTTGGCAGAGAACACATTGATGTTCGAAAATCCATACGATGCCGCGACGAGCTGGAGTTGCTGAAAATAATGCCCAATTTTCGCAAAATTCGAAGCTGAATTCAAGCCAGGTTTTGAAGAGTTCCCGGCCGAAATCAACAAAGTTGATAATAACACCAGTCGTTAGTTCACTTGCTATCGCTTCGTCTTGCGGCATGGTTATCCCTGCGAATGCAATCATGCTCAGACCGTTGGTAACGAATAACAAAGTGGCCATTTGGCCCGTACGTGCCCGTCGCTTACTGACCCACCTTCCCCGGTGGTAGGCAATCAACTTGTTGCTATAGAACCACAAGGTTATGTGCTACACAAATAACCCTTACGCATAACCATCATTTTGCATACGGTTCTGTGTAGACCAGCTTCCAGTGAAATTTGAAATCGACACAGACAGTATAGTATTATTGCACAACCAACGAACTTGGTCACAGAGATTGGCCCCGACGAGCTACACCTAGTTATGCCGGGCGCCCTTGCGATTGCCTACATACACGGGTGGTGAAGGGAAACTGCTATGGGTTCAGGGTGAGGAGGTATCATCTGGAGGGTGGACAACCCGCGGAACCATGCATATTGCAAGAAGAGATGGTGCGAACTTACTGGGCCCCTTTGGATTTATCAAGTTTCGCGTTTGCAGATAAAACGATTTTTTCGCTATCGCATATTCAAACGCTAGCCCAGCAATACGCACCAGGTTTTATGATACCAGAAGAAGGAAATTTCACCGGCGGCAAACTTAATCTCTACATTCTACCTCACACATAACCAGCATTCATCAACACTCCATGGTTGTCGATTACTTCAGATAACATTAAACTCGCTAAATGAGACAAGGGCCGTTCCGCTGTCTGCGAATCGACTCCGCAACGCCGCAAGTGGAGTGCGCATACAAGCTGACATCCCGTGGAAATAACTTTCAGAGAATCCCACCAACTGAGAGGAAAATAGAAAAAATGAAGATAAGAAAACTGTGATCGCTCACGATGTTCCTAAGCCTACAGGATCCTCTTCCCACCACGCTCAAGTATACAATCGGAAGCAATGGCGTTACATCTGTGAGACTCTTTCTCTCGAAAATGTCGGCGCCATTTAGTTGATAATAACCCCCGTGTCACCTAACTACAAGGGCTGCGGTCCCGGGCTGTTGAACATGGTGTTACAGTCTGAACTAACAGCACAAAATTTTATGGAGAATTGGACTAGGTTCCGTAGAACGCAGGCAATAGAAATTCGTCTGAGAGCAGCAGGAACACGACCATGTTCTACTGACAGCTCAGTTGGAGCGCCAACCTCATTGAAAACACCCATTGGGCGATGACGGTTTCAACAGCAGTTATAACACCCGAAAGTACACAACAAAACACGAGCGACCACCGGGATCGAGAGCATCTGCTAAAAGAATATATCCCAACCTCTTCTCGAGACCCTGCAACCGATCCAAAAACAACCAGCCGGCGGCCCTTCAACGGTCGGCGTAAACTCACTCACCCCATGCATCACACCCAACACGCTTCTGGTCTCCGAGAAGCTCTCTTGCATGTACACAAATGCACAAGGCCTACTCAGCAAGTTAGCTGAATTGAGAATTCGACATGTTTCAGCAGCCTGCAATCTCATTGATTTCACGGAAACATGGTTGCGATGTGCGTTAGGGGATGCCTAAATCGCGCTAACAGGTATGTCTGTTGTCCGGAAGGATCGAATCAGCAAATGTGGTGGGGTAGCGCTCTATTTCAGTAGCAACTTACAGTGCGAACTCACACACGATTTTGAAACCGAAGTGCAGAATACCATTTGGTGTAGCTTACGGCTGAGGGGAAAGGAAGTCAACCTAGTGGCGGCTGTTTATCGCCCTCCATCGTCCACCCATCAGAATGGCTTGAACTTGATGGCTGCGTTGAGACAGGTGATAAAAAGGAAGTACAGTCATGTTCTAGCCGTTGGAGACTTCAGCTTATATGCTTTAATATCCCAAGCCACACCAGGCGGGCAATACAAAAAAGACTTGCATGAACCTGTCTTAAATTTGCCGCTTTATAGCCACATCACTTCGCTCACCAGGTTCAGGGGAAAACTGGCCATCCATCCTGGAACTGATATTTAATAATGAACTTATGATCGACAGGGTGATAAGCAATACTCCTCTAGGCCACAGTGATCATGCAAGCTTGTATTTCTCTTTCTGGCACGACAAATTACCCCGCAAAAATGAGCCCCAAACTACAATGCGTGGGCTGTGAGACGCAGAGTTCAATTCCTGCCCAAAACGTAGCGAGATCCAGCCACTCGGAGTCGGCTGAAGTGGACAAAGTTCTTTCGTAAACCACCAGCCCTACGTGGTGATTCATTTCACCCACAAAATGCATCATTATTCCAGCTGTGATGCGGCCTTTGGGGGTCATAAAGGAACTCACCGAGGTCCGCTTCGTCTTGTCTTGTCTCCTAGGTGGTTGGGACTCGCGTGGTCACGTGATCGTGCGCGTCCTTTCAGCCGGCTGCTGTGCATGCGTCTGTCTCTCGCGTGTCTAGTTCCCCGATCGTGTGCGTATCGTTGTCTGTTTTTGAGGATGCAGCGTGTCACCAGAATACTTCCGGGATTAGAGACTGTGCTCAGGTTACGCGTAACGTTCAGTTACGTTAACGCGACCAGGTCCGCGCAAATCCGTTACAATTTCTTGTACACCATCTTCGCTGAATACTCCGAGGCTGGAACACAAATGACACAGGCCATAACCACTACGGCAACTTAGCTCGACTTGTTGAAGCGAGCGACTGAAGTTTCCCAACCGTTTCGTCAGTAAGTTTAACACTGGTTAGTGGGACAACGCAAGCCAAGACTGCCGGTTGGAGAAACATGGCATCTTTCATACGGTGTATGACATAAACCTGCATGGTGATGCGTGACGCGACATGGTTTGCCCACAAAATCGACCCGAGTCCTAGTACCTGGAAGGCCTACGTTGTTCACCTTAACTACTGTACCCAACTTGTGCGCGAGGACAAAGTAGCTTAGGAACAACGTTTAGCAGAATAATTCACTCCGAATCCTAAGCTGCTGTACAGCACGTGAACAACCTTTGCAAGGTGAAAATGGAATTCGCTCACTTAAAACGGCGGAAGGTCTAACTCGGACGGCTAAAGCAGCGTCAAATGCTATGCAACAACAATACGCACCAGCGTTTTATTACATCTCGTGGTCTCCTGAAACGTTAGAAACTATGGTGCTATCAACAGGACTCACTCATGTAAGTTTTACGTTAGGTACCGTGATGAAAAAACAGCTATACATGCGCCTGCACGCCTGTGTAGGAATTGATGACATTCACTTGTTTTGGCCGCAAATGTGTTGGCTGAACCCTTAGCGCGCCTGTTCCAGCATTGCCTTGATGAATGGCGCGTACTTATAATGTGGAAACACAGGATAATAACTCCCATTTACAAAGGGGTAGTGCTTCCGACTCAGCTAATTATTGACCATTAACTCTTCTGCCAGTTCCTTCCGTAGTTACGGAGGTTATC